CTAAACTAGATCTGAAAATATATGTTGATTTATTGAAGTTTAGATGATTATTTGGGATGAGAAATGAATTATTATTGCTATAGGATTATGATTCTAAGCTAGAGACTTAATTTTTAATTTTTGGGTATTTTAGGTACGAATTTATAAAATAAAAAGAAAATTTTGATAATAGAAATTAGTTTAAAATTTGATTTTTAGATTATCAATGTTTATTGATAATTAAAAGAGGAGTTAAAAATTTTACTTAATAGTATTAACTATAGATTTGTATTAAGATTGAGATTAGGAATTATGTTATATTTTTAATTCTATTATTAGAATTATTTTATTAGTTTCAAAAATTGAAACTAATATTTATAAATAATATGTTATTTGTAGATTGTATTACTGGTGAAGATTGTGGTGAGAGAGAAATTTTAAGGAATAATTTATTGAAAAAGCCACAAGGTAACCATGCTTTTAATTTGTGATTAGTGTTACTTCATGTTAATTGGGTGATTATTGAGAAAATTATGAATTTTGTAATATTGTATAATTGTGCAATATTATTATGAATTTGTTTGATTATTGTGGGAGGTGTTGGGAGACTTGCTATTGTTGTTGTATTTATGTGCCACGTGGTACGCCCCTATTGGAGCTCAATAGGTGGCTTGTAAGGGCTCGGGTTAATCTACCTTTGGCCGGGTAATTTAGCACCGAGTGAGGGCTACGGCTCGAGGTTAATGGAGGGATATAAGGATGGTTGTTTGTGTGTATTGTAATATTTCATATATTTGTTGGAATTATATTATTTTTAATTCTCACTTAGTAAGCACACACTTAACTGTTTGTATACACTATCATAAATTGGCTTTGGTTACTGGGACTTTTGAGTCTCATTATGTGGTTAACAATTTTCAGGAGAAGAGCCAAGAGTGACACGTGGAGGAGTCCCAGAGGCTTAGTGGTATAGATCCACTGTCTCTTTTGGGTATTTAATTTATGATTTATAATGTGTTATATTGCCAATATTAGGGCTTTTTGTTTATTGTCAATTATATGAATATATAAATGTAATCATGTCTTTCAAACTATTTCTATTTTTGGTACAATTTGGATGACTGTAATTTTAATATTTGGTTTACTTTAGATTGGTTAAAATGGCATGATTATAAGGCCAAATAATTGGCTTGTGTTGAAAATTGACTAAATTGCTTATTTTATTTGTTGGGAGTATAAGGATGAATAAATGTAATTTAGTTTACTTGTTGGGAGTATAAGGATGGACAAATGTGATTTAGCCTAATGGCATGTGGGAGGTAAAAATTTATCTGAAATGTTATAGTGTGTGAGTTGAAGCCAATTATAAAATATTTTATATCGAAATTATTGATATAAAAATGTGTTAGGTGGCTGTAACCCAACTATGGTTGAGTTAAATTATTTTTAAAAAAAAAATTTGGTGTGTTACACCATCTATGTTTCTAACTCCTTTTCTTTTTCAAGAATTTTATCTTTGAAATCAATGGGTCTTCCACGTTTTATGTGTGGTTTAGAATCATTTGCAATAACAGGCTGTCCAACTGAGACATTAATTCTAATTGGAGTATTAGCAGCTAGAATATGTGATTTAGTTACATTCTCTAAGTCAGTAAATGCATCTGGCAATTAATTTGCTAAATTTTATAAATGAATTATCTTTTAAACTTCTAATTCACATTACTTTGTACGAGGATCAAGATGAGATAATGATAATTCATTCGAACTAATTTTATTTTTCAACTACTTATTTTCTCCCTTTAATTTTGGGAAAAATAATTCATCAAAATGACAATCAGCAAATCGAGCAGTAAATAAATCTCCTGTTGATGTTTCTAAATATTTAATTATAGATGGAGATTCATATCTAACATATATTCCTATCGTTCTTTGAGACCCATCTTGGTACGTTGTGGTGGAGCAATTGATACACATGCTGTACATCCAAAAATTCTTAGATGGAAAATATTAGGTTCCTGACCAAAAACCAATTCTAAAGGAGAGATCTTAAGATAACTTGTTGGCTTGATATAAATTAATGATGCTGCATGTAAAATTTCATGCCCCCAAATAGAAATTAGGAGATTTGATCATTTAAGTAATGGTCGTGTAATCAATTGTAAGCATTTAATCAATGATTTTGCAAGTCCATTTTGTGTATGAACATGTGCAATAGGATGTTCAACATCAATTCCAAGAGACTGCAATATTCATTAAAGGCTTGTGAAGTAAATTCACCAGCATTATCTAAACGTATTTTCTTAATATGATAATCAGGAAAGTATACTCTTAATCTAATAAGTTGGGCAAGCAATCTTGCAAATGTCAAGTTATGAGAAGATAACAAGCAAACATGCGACCATTTTGTTGATGCATCAATTAAAACTATAAAGTACTTGAATGGTCCACATGATGGGTGTATAGGCCCACAAATATCACCTTATATGCGTTTTAGAAATGTGAGAGACTCACTTTCTATTTTTATTGGTGATGGTTGAATAATTAACTTTTCTTTAGAACATGCAGCACATGAAAAATCATGGGATTATAGAATCTGTTGACCTTTTAATGAATGCCCACATAATTTTTTGATTATCTTTCACATTATAATTGACCTGGGATGGCCTAACCGGTCACGCCAAACACTGAATTTATTATCATTTGTAAACTTCTGATTTATAATAGCATGTATTTCAATTGTATTAATAAATGTGTAATACAAGCTAGAGAAAAATATAGGTAATTTTTCTAGTGTGCATTTTTTACCAGAAATTAAATTCGTAATAATAAGATATTCTTTATTTTCTTGATTTGCTATCTTAATATGGTATCCATTTCTGTGGATATCCTTAAAACTCAAAAAATTTCTATTAGACTTAGTAGAATAAAATGCACTATCAATGTGTAATTTAGTTCCTCCAGACAACAATATATTAGCTCTTCCAGAACCATCAATCATCTTTATACTTTCAGATACAGTTTGAACATTGGCTTCTTGCATTATCAAACAAGAAAAATATTTTTTTATTTTTGAGTATTGTGTGAGTTGTTGCACTATCAATGAGACACATATCTCCATTATTGTCGTTGATACCAATTAGATAAATATTCATTCTTCATTAAAAAAACATAAACATATATAATTAAAACATGGAACACAAAAATTTTATTCATTGAAAAACAACATCATAAGTAAATTCTCTAAAAAAATTATAAGTAAATTCTTTATTCCAATACAAGAAAATTAAGATGATATTTAACTATAAAATTTAACAACATCAATATCTGAGAAATTTATTTCTGAACATTTTCATCCCCAATCAGGTGATCAATTCTTCCATTAAGATCGGCAAAGAAATCAACAACATCCAAATGAGTAACATCCATGACACTGTAATCAAAATCACCTTCTCCAGAAGCAAAATGTGTTTCTAACTTTGCCTCTTTGTTTTTACTTTTACTTTTAAGTGATTCTTGGTAAAGATTAATTAAATGTTTTAGAGTACGACAGATACGTGATCAATAACCTTTACCACCACAACGGTAGCACAAATTTTTAGTATTATTATTATCATCCCTACTTATTCCTTTCTTGTGTTTCTCTTTGTTGTTTGTCCACTTCTGGTGGAAAGATGTACTACCACAACTACGGCCACGGCTACGACCTCATCCACGGCTATGGCCACGACCATAGCCATAACCCCAAGCTGATTCATTTGGCACTGCATTTACTCCAGGGAATGGGGTAGAACCAGTTAGGTGAGATTCATGATTTTTCATCAAAAGCTTGTTATTTTGTTCAGCCACAAAAAGACAAGAAATTAATTCAAAATATTTTTTAGAACCTTTTCATGATATTGCTGTTGCAGGAGCACGTTGGATGCATGAAATATAAAGAATGTTTCTTCTAACATATTATCATCAGTGACTTTTCTTCACCTAATTTTAGTTGAGAACTGATTCTAAAAATTATAGAGTTATATTCACTTACAGATTTAAAATCTTGCAAACGTAAATGCATTCAATCATAACGAGCTTGTGGAAGAATTATAGTTTTTTTATGGTTATACCTTTCGGTTAAACTATTCCAAAGAACAAGAGGGTCTTTTATAATTAAATACTCAATTTTTAACCCTTCATGTAAATGGTAACGAAGAAAGATCATGACCTTGACCTTATTTTGATTAGATGCTGAATTATCATCCTTGATTGTGTCTCCAAGGCCATTGGCATCTAAATGGATTTTTGCATCTAGTATCCAAGATAGATAATTTTTTTCAATAATGTCAAGAGCCACAAACTCAAGTTTTGAAAGATTCGACATATAAATACTATAATAAAAATATAATAAGAATTAGATGACATTCAAGATTAAATAAGATTAAAAGGATCAAATGGTTAAAAAATAGATCAAATCATGTATGAACATAAAAATTACTTTGCAATGAGAAACCTTGTCACAAAATTTGTAGATTACCAGAGCTCTTATGCTGACAACTTATGAAATTAACAATTAAAAAATAAAGATATTAAGAGAAGAAATAGAGACAAGAGAATGAGAGAATTTCTTATAGATCATTGTATCCTTCAATACAAATCACATGCTCTATTTATAGCATAGTTTTACACATCAAAGATTACACAAATGATAAAAGCAAATAAATGGTAATTAACTCTCATGATGGTGGGAGTTTCATGGAAAGACAATCAACTCTTATGATGGTGAAAGTTTTATAAAAAAAGATGAAGATGAAGAGGTGATGAAGATGGACATCTATTATCCTTATAATATTTATGACATATTTTATTTATTGTTTTATATTTGATGAGTTTTTTTTATCAATATGTTTCTTTCTTATAAAATGGAGGAAATAAAATAGAAATAGGTGGAGAAAAGAGAGAGGGCAAGGTTCAATGTTTTGGGCAAAGACCAATGACATGCGGTTAGTGGGTCCCAGCAACACGGGAAAAGTTGTCTTTGGGTTCTCATTTCTTCTCCGATCAGTATTTTGAGCTGACCGGTGTTTTCTCTCCTATCGGACCCTAAACTCATTTGGACGCTTTGGAGTCCGAAGTCGCTGCTGCCAGTACTGACATACAATGAGCAGTCCAAATCCTCAGATTGCTGACGATACGTCGCCCTCCCAAAATCCTAGCTTGGTCGAGGATCCACAATGCGAAGACCAAAAAAGCCCACATTTTGATTCTCAATCTTCCAAAACCCTAATCTTGGATGATCAAGATCCTGAACATCCTTCCCAACAGGATGCGAATAATCCTCAGGAAATTGTTCGAGAATCTGAAAATCCACGGGATTCTCTCGTGGAAGGCCAGACTGATACTCAAAACGTGGACGACGTCGACGCCTCTTCGGCTCTCTCTCCTCGGAATGCCGATATCAACGTTGCTGTTGCCGACGCCACTAGTCGTCGAGGTCCGAAGCGGAAGAGAATGGGGCACAAGCGGAATGCTCAAGAAAAGAAGATCCGGGAGAAGTTTCAGGTACTCGTTGAAACTCTAAAACCCGTACCGTTTATACCAGCAAAAACTCTTGACTTTGCGAGCCATGAAACGCTCCTGCGGCGACTTGGGCTGTGGGATTTTGTTCATATTGAGTTGGATAGAAGTATTCGGAGCGATCTTGTGGCGCAATTGATAGCCGGTTACACCCCTTCTTCTCGTTCCAGTTATGTGAATGGGATGAGGATTATGGTGAACCGGGCTGACCTGGGCCGTGCTTTGAAGTTGCCAGTGAGGAAGACTGTCGTTACAGATGATGTTTTGGAGACGCTAGACTTGGCAGAATCTATATCTTTTATTGAGGAAGTCGTGTCAAATTGGATGCTTTTGCATGAGGATACCTATATTATGCCTACTGAGGTTTTGGCCTTTATTAAGACGATGAAGGACGGGCACTTGGAGAAGGTTGATTGGGCAGGATTGATATGGCAGATGGTTGAAAAAGAATTGAAAACCCCACAGTTGGTGAATTGTTACTATGCATCACATTTGCAACAGTTGATTAAGGTACAGCGGGAGGAGTTCCTGAGAGAAGAGCCTAAGGTGGAGACGGAGGCGAAAGATGAGGAAGAGGAAGAGGAAGAAGATGATGATGGCGCTGGTGATTCAAAAATGGGTGGAGTTGAGGATGGGAGTGGTGATTCAAAAATGGGTGGAGTTGAGGATGAGAGCGTTGATTTGAAACTGGGTGGCGTTGAGGATGGGGGCGTTGATTTGAAACTGGGTGGAGTTGAGGATGGTGTGGACGATTCAAAATCATGCAGAGTTGAGGATGGTGGTGGTAATTCAAACTTGAGCGGAGTTGAGGATGGTGCTGGTGATTCAAAAATGGATGGAGTTGAGGATGGGAGTGATGATACGAAGTTGGATGGAGTTGGTGATGGGAGTGGTGATATGAAAATGGGTGGAGTTGAGGATGGGAGTGGTGATAGGAAAATGGGTGGACTTGAGGATGGGAGTGGTGATGTGAAAATGGGTGGAGTTGAGGATGGCAACGGTGATGTGAAAATGGGTGGTGTTGAGGATGGCAACGGTGATGTGAAAATGGGTGGAGTTGAGGATGGAAGTGGTGATTCCAAAGTGGGTGGAGCTGAGGAGGGGAGTGGTGATTCCAAAATGGGTGGAGCTGATGATGGGAGTGGTGATTTGAGAATGGGTGAAGTTAATAGTGGACGAGTGCAAGAGTTGGAGGAACACAACATTGAACTGAGTCTTGGGCAAGACAATTTTGAAAAAGTTGAAGTAGAAAAGGAGCAGGATGTAGGTGAACACATCGTGAACATTGAGGAGTTTAAGGAAAAAGAACCCAGGCAATGGCTTTTGGATAGGAAGAACAATTTAGGTGTCATGGATATTGAGGATCTTAAGGAAGAGCAACATGGGCAATGGCTTTTGGATAGGAAGAACAATGTGGGTGAGCCCTTTTTGCGTCAATGTAATTTCAGTGATGTGAATAGTTTGGATGGTGAGTCAAAGAAAGAAGAGGAAGAAGGTCAAGAAGGGGGAGAAGATGAGGGAGAAGAAGATGAGGAGGAGGAGGAAGAGGCTGAAGAAGATGAACATGATGGAGGTTTCCATCTACCATCAAAGTGTATACCTTTGGAGGGGATGCCTTCAGGGAGTCTCATGCAAGCAATGGAGTTTAATTCTGGGATTGAACTTCGTGACAATTCTATGGGAGATTTTCTTTCTTCTAGAGAAGATGCTCAAATGATATCTGGGGCATCCCTTTTTAATAATGGTCACAAAAGAGATATTGGCCAGGATAATAATAACTCTCATCATTCTCTAAATGGCAGTAACAAGCGGCTTAGAAGTGACAGCCCATGGAATGCAAAACCAGTTGACTTTGAGATGTGCATGGAGCAAATAGAACATTGGATTGGAAAAGCTAGAATGATGTATGCATCAAAAGAACAGTCTTGTGATGATTTAAACATGAACCAGCAAGTCTTGCTGAATGAGCTGCAGAAGCGTGATAGCATGATTGATAATTTGCACAAGGCAAATATGGATGAGAGTCAGAAGAGACAGATGGAGGTATATCGGCTAGAAAAGGAGCTCTATATGATGTCAAACCTCTTGGAGGGTTACAGAAAGGCCTTAAAGGAAACACAGAAGGCTTTTGCTGAATATAGAGCTCGATGTCCAGAAGCTGATGAGCCCCTTTACAAGGATGTACCTGCGTCTGGGGGTCTTGTTCTAAGTGTGATGGAACTGGAAAAAGAACGTCTAAAGCAAGAAGAAGAACAAAGGATGAAGCGATTGACGATTGAAAAGAAATTGAGAGATTTTGAAGGAGGCTGGATTACTAAACTTGAAGATCATCTGAATGGATTTCAGTTGCTGCGTAATAGGTTGCTGACTATTGAAGATCAAGTAAAAGATTTGAATGAATTGAATGCAAAACGCAAGGTTTCACATACTCCGGAATGTGCTACAAGTGAAGAACAAACAGCTTAGTGAGATTTACTTTTTCTGTTCATGTCATGTAGAAGCAACTCATGTTTAAAGTCCAATGAACATCCTTTTGTTCATAGTGTACAAAGTTTACTATTTAAGCTGGTTCCTTAAACTGCAGAATTTTCTTGCATGTGATTCTGTGACCTGGATCGCAAGCTATGGTCATTTCTGAATGTTCATTCAGCCGCAATATTTTATCATACATGCATATGGTTCAATATCATCAATTATTGTTCATTTTGTCTGGCGACATGGGAAATCTGTTTGCTTGATGCATGTTGAACCTATTTTATGTGTCTCATCTATTTTTGACCTAATGATACTAATGTAGAAGAACAAACTGATGCAACTATTGACTAGGACACGTGGGAACATCTGCATCGTCCATGCTTGGTGTACTGAACTTTTTTTTTTTTTTGGGGTAAAGGGTGTGCTGGATGATTTAATATGTCATGTTGATGGTTCTTTAACTTGTTTTACAGTAATCTCAAATAGTTGATGGTATCTAAATTTGTTTACTTAATCACTAGGGTTCCTCCAGCACCGTTTCAGATTGCATGCTGTTGCAATGGTCTTTCCCTTCTCACTTTGAGAACTTAACTTTATCCGAGTTATATCTATTATTTCGAGTGCATAGTAGCATCATTTGAGTCAAATGCTTTTTCTTTATTCTTCTGATTTCCCTTAGTTATTTATCATGCACTTTACTTCATAAGATCAGCATAGAATCTGTTCTATTATTTTATAGAGTGTGTGTGTGTGTTTAAATATTTTGTTTTTGGAATAGGTTGGGATGGATTTCTAGGAATGCTGTCTGCGTCAGGCCTTGCATGGCATTTGTCATCAACTGATCCTGCTTTCCTTAGTTTTGACTTTTACCATAAATAAGAACTTTGACCTGGTGCTCTGCAAATTCTGAGAGTTTAAACTTCACATCAATTGTTTCTCCTTTTCTTTTATTCTTTTTGTAAATTCTTGACATATTATATTAGAGGCGATTGATGTTATGCAAGTTCAAATATTTTCAAGGCTTGATTATATGTAAATTTCTCCACCGTGAGGTTTATTCTAGTGTATAAGATCCAACAGAAGTTGATGCTAGCCTTCCTTTATCAGATGCAATACAGCAAATTGGAATCGTATGTCTATTAATTGTGATAAAAAGCATGTTGATGTACTAATACCAGCTGAGAGTTACCATACATAATTTTACCATGATTTATATTTACCCTCTTGGTAAGGGGAAACTCAGTCAAGTTACTCCTTCCTCGTTATCATATGGTATCATGAGAATTATCCAGTGATGAAGAATGCACCCTGTGTTTCTGTTTATTTTGTATGTGTGTGTGTAGTTCAGTTCCTCATGCAGGAAGGTTTAAAATTCATGTTGCTTCGACTGTGGTGTTTCATTAATGTTTAGTGTGAGAATTAGTGATAAGATTAAGAGTGATGAGCATGGGATCCAAACGTGTGGGTAAAGATTATCAGTAATTATGAGGAATTGATCGAGGTTGCTCCATTGAAACATGTTCTTTGGATTTTGTCTTGCAAAGTCTCTGAATTTGTGTGGCATGCATGAGACGTAGTTCATAGTTCGTTTTGATGGAAAAAATTAAAATAAAAGAAAATTAGTTTTCATGACGAAAATTGAATATTGCAGTTTCATTTCAAAATGTGGAAACAGAAATTACTTGATAATAATTACAAAAATTATGGTGTGATAAATCTTTATCAAAAATAATCTTCCCAGATCCAAATGGCCTCACGTCTTCAATCAAATCTTCTCTAAAAGCGCAATTTATAAGATTGATCACAAGTGTCTTTTTAGTTAGGAATCGTCAAATCGTGTCACGGATGACAACGGCTTGATCACCAAAATAAACAGTAGGGTACTTTTTTAGCACTATTTAATTGTAACTAATGTTTTTTAAAAGAACACGTCCTAAGAATGTTACAATAAAAGGCATAAAAACTATAAATTTGTTTGATGTATAAATAAAATATGCTTACATGGAACAATTAACTACCGAAATTAACCTTAATGTGATTATAATGGTTATTATTGCGTGTGAAAGTATTATGAGATGATAGAGGAACAGTGTTGGTAAAAAATGATAGCGAACATATTTAAAAATTAATTGAACCACAAAAGGTAAATTAACAGACATCAGGCACCCAGTTGATGATCTGTGAATATATATCGAAGACTAGATAATTACATCCAACCATGGCAGTTATAAAGCACATCAACTCCAGAGGATTCCAACCCCAAGACTTCACAATACCTTCCTCTCATGCATTCCAAGTTCTAACTTCCAACACAAGTCCATTATTCTTTTTTTTTTTTTTTTTTTTTGGGGGGGGTGTGGACAAACAAGCGCACCATTCTTTGTTTCCACTTCAATTGCAAAACGCCAAAATAAAAAGGAGGTGGGGGAGGAATCAAAGACAATGATCAACAATATTGCAATACAATAAGATACCATCTCCTTTGCATTTCTAGGTAAACATTCCAGTTTCTTCCAACTTGCGGTAACACAAGTTTCTCTGCATTACACTCATGCACAGTTTTAGTGGTCCCATTCTTTAAAGTAAACACATTACATCACTGCTCTGTTTCGTAGCAGCAGAAGAGTACCAACAGTGGCCTTACCACATTGGATGTGCCCTATTTTCACTCATTTTTCCTCTAACTTCATTTATCAAATGGCTGAGAAGAAGTCTTACTGTCTAAATCTTTGACACCACCCAATATAATGTTCAGTGCATATTTGGAATTATGTTAGCAGAAGCCAAAACGTGGTTTTGGCAGAAGCATCTTTTGAGTTACTTTTGCCAAAACATGGTATTGAGCCCACCCCAACGTGATTCCAAACACAAAGTAGTACTATAAACAAAAGAGAGTAAAAGAGGAGGATATTCATCGCTTCTTCTCCTTCTCCTCCCCTCCCTTTAATGAATGAGAAATTCCTCTATACCATACAACCAGCTATTGCAAGGAAATAATAGTTTACCATTAGTGCATTGTACTGTCAGTTAGTAGACTCAATATCTAAGAATTTATCCCCTCCTATTCTTCTTTCCCCGACCCCTTTCTCCGTTCTAATCCAAGACTAGGAAGTTTTTTCTATACAGTAACAAGAATAACAGTATCATACATAAACTGGCTACGTGATCATTAGTACATTACTATGGGTAAGTATGTTCAAACGTTGAGAAGTTGTTCCTTTTCAGTCAGACCATGGCATTGGGGATTTGGTGAGGGGGAAGCTGAACCTGCAACATAGTCCATGTTCTTGAGGTTTTGTTGGTGATACACTTGCCTAAGCCTCTCTAACTCCCTCTTAAGTGAATCTTGAAGAGCTGCACATCCATCATTAGAATGTAAGAAGCTGTTTGGTTGAGCCATTTCAACTTCGATGAGATTTTGTTATCAAGTTTTTTAACAACACAATATGTAGAGGAGTTACTTAAAAATTGCAATTACATAACAATTGAGTCTTGCTAAACTATGCACTTCTTTTATTTTAATTAAATGATGTGATTACGAGTATTTAAAAATTAAAAATCTCATCAAATTTTTAACTATTTTACTAAAATTTGCTTATGATTGATTCTTTATCCATATTACAAAACCAACCTAACTCCAAGGAGCTTGTTGTACAATTATTTATCGGTTCATTCCGTTCTTTTCTATTTGTCATTCCAGCTCTGTCCTGTTTTCATGAACATAACACTTAGTCGACCTAAAATCTTTTACTCATCCTCGCATACTCAACCTTGTAACCATGTTTCTTGCTCCAATCTTTCCGACGCATTCATTGCGCTGATCACTGTTCCTCTCTCTGTGTGTGTGTGTGTAAAATATAGCATGCTCAGATGCTGTCTTTCGAGCTTATCGAAAGGGACAAAAACATTTAGATTCATCATACATGAATGATCCATTCAGCTTCATTCTGAAGAGCATGGTTGGCTATATAAATTACCAGAAACTCTAGCTCTTAACTGCATATGCATTCAATTTCTTAGCCATTAAATAATTAAATAGCATAAATAAAATCAGTGAGTGAAAATAAATACCATCTTTAAAGATCTTGTCTTGAGTGAGGGCGGCAATTCGTTGCTTTAGAGCACCATTGTCTACATTTAGAAGCAAGCGTTGATGATCTAAAAATGCAACCCTTGGAGACAGCACTGATACTTCGGCCTTCAATTTTTGACAGAATGAGAAAAGCCAAACATCAAACCATGCCACATAAAAATAACTAAAATAAGAATATTGTGGTCATGAAAAAAACAAAAAGAATATTGTAGTCAATTGCACCTGTAAGGAAGTTACACTACGTTCCAGCTCATTTATATATTGCAGCTTCCTCACTCGTGATCTTTGTGCAGATTGCCTATTTGCCAAGATTCTGAAGCAAAACCAGAATTAGGGACGGATGAGATATATTATCTGAATTCGGAAATAATATAATGATGCAAAACACTGCTCCCCATGAAATTGAAATGATAACAAAATCATTCCAAAAAGCAGACTGCCTATTATAAATGCATGATTAATTACCTCTTGACCCTCTTGGGATCAGTGATCTTGTCAGAGGAAGTTGCTAACGTATCATTAGGTTGTATTTCCTGCCATTTGCTTATATGATTATCGACCTCATTGGATTCATTTTTCAATTGCTGCTGCTGATCTTCGTTCTGCTCGTGCAGGTTCTGGTGTTGTTGGAGTTGGTTCGTGATTTCTTTCTCGTCATTAATGCTGTTATGATCAGATGGGCTCGGTGTTTTTGAAGAGGAAAAGGTTAGAGGCATGGCAACCCCAGATAAGTCATTATTGAACATGGACATGAATTTCTCATCATCAAATCTGTCAAACTCATTCTCAGCCTCAAACCTGGGTCGGACATTCCTAGAATTAACATGACAATCGTCCAGCAACACAGGAGCCTCGACGAAGGTAATGGAATCGCTCACCGACCGGCGGTGGGCCTGGCGTCTTGCTGATGAGAAGTCATGGAATTCATCCGCCCAGAAAGGGTCCTTGTTGGAAGCAGCAACATCCAGCGAGAAACTTGCCACAGAAGGCATCTTCTGTTGGGAAGAAGCAGAGAAATCATTCACACATAGCACCGCGTGAGGGATCTTGGGTGGTAATTGTGCCATGGAAATACTTTTTCCCTCTTCCAAAGATGTTAGCACAAACACAGCCCGCAAAATCCAACAGAACCCAGAAAGATAGATAGCTGCCTTCCTATTTGTATGTGAGCATGAAAGATGGAAGAGAAATGAACAATTATTGTCTATCCAAAACTATGAACGACGCATTGTGTAAATATGTATCCCCTCAGGATTACAAAGGAGGGAACCACGAGATCATGACAAGACGGAGGAGGAGAAACAGAAAACTAACTAATAATACTCTCTCTCTCTCTCTCTTTTTCTTTTAATTGTTCTAGTGACCACTTTTTTCTCTTTTTTATTTCTTAATATACATACGCCTTGAAAATTACCATGGGTCTGAAAAAGTTGTTAAAATTAATTCTCAAAAATAGTCTATATAAAAAATGATTGAATTTCATTAAAATTTTGTTTTCCCCCAAAACAACCTAACTTGTTTTGATAAATTTAAAAGACTAATTATAGAAGGTAAAAACAAAAGGCTGAAATAGAGAACAATTTCAATATATAAATATATAAGAGGCTGGGAAAAAAGAAAAAAAAGTATAAGAGAAATAAATTATACGTAATTAAATCACCTTCAATGCTTTTTCTTCACAATACTCTCAAGAATAAAGTATCTGGTTACTATTATTCACTATTCTAACATTTAAATCTTAATAACAATATAATATGAGAATTGAAAATCACTAAATATTATTTAAATTTTGATTACGAGAAATTTGTATTTCTCAATTTAAAAACGATTTCTCAAGTATGTCAATTTAGAATTAGTAATATTTAAATTTAGTTAATAGTATTGTTTTATCATTTCAATATTTTATATGCACAATTTTAATTGTCACTTCAGTTGCCACATTCATCTGATGGAAGGAAAAGAAGAATTCAAGCTAATTTGACCAACTGACTGATTTCATAAGTGAACCAAAACTTTTTATCGATTACTTGAGTGCACTAACTGGTTGTAATCCAAATTTCTCAACGTTCTAACAACTTCTGCATATTCTCATGACAACAAATAGTGTTACTGCCAATTTAATGCTTGCACCAAAGTCAGACCTTATGTTCATTTACTTCTGTTTGGTGGACAAAAATTTGGAACTTACATTGCTTCCAAGATGCTTGCCACACCGAGAATCACCAAGCCTTTGGTAATTGGAGCTGACTATAACTAGTTGAGTTAACACTTCTTGATTCATTTTCAGAATTCAAATCCTGCCCAAATAACTCCCATTTGTGCAATATATTATTCTCACTCTATTTTCGCGTTCAAAACCTTCCCCAACATATTTTATAAGACCCCAGTACTGCACTTTCTCTACGTCAAAGTTTATGATCATCTTACAGAGGGGTGTTTAACTGGGGAAAAAGGACAATAAAATGTAGATGCTGAAGTCTCTGCAACATGAACTTACCCTCTTAGGCAATAATATTTTAGCCTAGCCCACCCCATTAACAATTTAGCTGCTAAGATCCAAGTGATGCAAATCTTTGCCTCACAGCACAAGCTATCTTCCACTCACCAATACTAGCCAAACCTTCAATTATCTTATGCCTGACCTTGATATATGGTATAAAACCTCTTTCGGTCATCCTCATTGCAACCTTTCCAGCCAAAAGGTACTCGGCTTTCTCCAAGCAACCTTCAATCACCATCTCATAACTCTCAAATCCAACAGTGTAACCCTCATTCTCCAGGAACTCAATCATCTCAACTGTTTTCCATATCTCCCTATTTGCCCGTAATGCTGCCAACAATTTCATTAGTGATCCCGGTCCTGGGGTCAATCCACATTTACCCACCATTTGCTTCATCAAGTCCAGTGCCTCAGTGGTCCTTCTTACTCGGCATATTGCTCCAATCACAATATTGTAACTTTCTTGATCAGGAAAGCATCCTGCTCCACTCATGCCTTTCAGGACTTTAACCGCCTCCATCCACTGATCAACAGCACAAAGCGATGATAGTAGATAATTACAGGTCTTGCAGTCAGGTTGATATCTGATTGATTGCATCTGAAGTAAAATGTTAGAAACAGAATGACATTGCTGTCGTTTGTTCAACCAAGCAGATGTGAGGAGAACATGGGTTTGAGGAACAGGAATGCAACCAGAACGAAGAGTCCGTTGTAGAACGGCAAGAGCAAGAGGGAGGGAATTGGGGCTTTCAAGAGTATAGGAAAGAAGATATGAATAAGCTGTCTGAAGCTTAGAACGAGGTCTAAGGGGTATGAATGATTGCAACATTTCATCAATGATTTGCACTCTCGTGTTTTGGGGAACTGAAGAAAAGAAAGAAAAAGGATTGGGACTTGGACAGGGCTCTGAAGAAATGAGAAGATTAGGAATTTTCTCATAGTTTTTGGCTTCTACTTCAGCTCTGACAACCTGCTCCAGCATTCGTGATGGTAGCGCTGAGTGAATTGAATGACATTGCTTCAGAAGAGGACGGAAATGAAAAAAAAGTTTATAGTGCTTTATTGTTCCAATCATCATTCCTGATAGACTCATATGGTACTGAAGCAGCCTGTGCCATAAAAAAGACGAAACCTTCAGGGTATTGTCAGAGAAATACTTACGTTGATAGATATGGGGAAGAGTGTGAACGGATAAATAAACATGCAAAAAGAGACAACATAGCTTGACTTTATCTAGTAATCCTAATAAAGCTTGAAGAACATCTCCCTCATACTTGCATGCCAATAAGGAGGTTCCAAGTTATATAAATTGAAGTCAAGGTAAGGTTGCAATTATAATGGTTGGCCACTCTGTTTCAATCATGGTTCTCTTTTTCTTTCAAGCATTTCATCAAACACTTGGTGTACAGTCGGGAACATCTATCATGATATTCAAGCCTTTTCTCAAACAACATGCAGGCATGAATCAAGGTACACAAGACATTCAGCGCAACAAATTCACCGGTTCACCAATCAACTTCAATCCCCTTTTTCAAACTCACAAGAAAGCGTTGGAGGAAGGGAAAAAAGAAAAAGCTATAACATTAACAATATGTATGGAAATGCTACCTAAAAGTGGACGAAGGTGGAAAATAACTAACTAATAAAGCAAGTCTTATGACCCCTCAGTTTCGGTCAGGGACCTTGGTCCACTCTCCTCCCCCGTCTCGAGTGCGAAAACGGTGAAGAAATCATCTGCCAAGAGGCCATTTGATATGAGCAATCGATAAGAAGGGAATCGTTAAGTGGCGTGAGACAGAAAGAAAGAAGAAAAAAGAGGAAGAAAGAATCAGACTAAGTCACCAACTTAATAGAGATAAATAGATGTCAAGCTTGCCAAAGCATTGTACGGGATCAGCTCCGCTACTATTCCTCCGTCTGGTGGTCTGCCTCTCTGGGCCGGTCCGGATTTTTACTCTTTCCGTTTCACTTTCAAGGAACGAAGACAAACTGGGATGAATCTTTTTTTTCTTTTTAGTGTAAATTTTTTTCTAGAATCAATTTTATCAATCACTAAAAAAAAATATATTACAATCTTTAATGGCGGAAGGTGGTAAAAACAAAGAAAAAACCTAAAATACAATACAACACACAACTCACAAAATAAAATAAAAGCAAAATAACAAATCAGAAATAATATCAATATAGCTCAAGTATAAAATCAAAACAGCATATTAGCCACTTGTCACAGTCTTCGAACTCCTTTGTCTTTGAACCATATTAACATTAACATGATCAACCTTTTAATTTTTGTTAAGTTAGCCGAACCTTTAAAATGTAGGCAAAAAAATTATAAAACTTAAACACACAAGAGAAGAGAGCTTGAATGAGACAACTTAAAAGTTTAGAATTTTGTTTGGTTTTCTTGTTGTTACTTACAAATGAGGGGTGATGAGGTATTTATAAACTTTTCTCTTATTTTAGAGTTTTCTTATTTTTTTAATGGATAGTGGAGATCAATCCAATTCTATAATTTACATTCATTCTCTAGAGTATTTTATAAAAATATCTACAATAAATATTTAGATATTTACAAGATTGTTTTTACTAACCTTTAAAAATGTGTAGAATATTTTAGGATCGTCAATAGATCATTACTCTCTTTCTAAAAGATTAATCCTTTAAGACGTGCAGTACACCTGTTTATATCTATGACCCTTTCCGAATCCCTCCAATATAAGACCTGATAGCTCCCCCAACTAACCTATGACGCCCCCATCATGGACGGCCCACCAAAGAGGTCCATTGACCAAGCAAACTCGAGTCTGGCTTTAATATCACTTCATTATTTAGCTATTATTCTCTTTCTAAAAGGTTAACCTATTAGGACATATAATGCACTTACTTATATAATCAAATCCTCTTCAAATCTCTTCGATATGAGACCTGACACACTGCTTCCTTAATTTTAGAGAAACTAGCATAAGCCAAAAAAAAAAAGTACAGTAATAGCTTCTAGACAAGTGACTATATGTAAAAAAGATATCACATCGAACATATTTTTTTAAAACCCATCACTATTAAAAAGTTACTAGCTTCATTACCTTGATGGGATATCAAGGAGAAATAAACATCTTTACATGATTCTTTAATTGCAAGAATATCCTGCACAATTTCAAAGCATTTTCAGTCGTGATCAGAATTAAGTCTTTGGGCTGAATTTGAAAGGCACTATTTTAAGGGTTTGTTTATTAACGCCGGATTTAATACTTCTATTCTATTTGGTCTAAATTATGGCCTTTCATCTTTCTGTTTGCAAGCGGAACAAACATTCTTAGTGTAAAATTTTTTTTAGCTGACGTTCCTAATGTAATTATATCAGTTAATAGTAAGTTTAAAATTATCGTTAGTTTAATTGATTTATTGTTTATCTTATGCTGACCTGAAAATGTGTGCGTATATTAAATTATTTCTCACGCACATGTGTGTGTGAAAGCAGGTTTGTTATTTGAAACTAGTGCGGATTGCATAACGTTTGGAAAATAAATTATGGAAAAAAAAAAAATATATATATATATATATCCTTAGCCATCATCTAACTCTGCATAGTATTTTAATCTACCCTTTTAATTTTGTAAAAAAATAAAATCAGTCATTTAATCTTAGTATCATTAATTTTAGTGATAGAAAAATATCAATGTTGCATTGTAAAATGCTAATAAAATGTTATTAAATGCTAACGTATTGAGATTAATTTTAAAAATATAAATAATTGGATTTAAAAAATCATCATATAACAATCCTTTTTCAACATTGAAAATTTGTAATGTTATCATTTTTTTATTAATAAAATTAACTATATTAAGGTTAAAGGACACTTTATAAAAAATAAAAAATTAAATATAAATATTGAATAAAATTAAAGGACAGAAAGTGTGCTTTTGCTAAATCATATATTCATTATTTCTATTTACAAGTCATAAATAAGTTATTTAAAATTAATTAATGTTTTTAAAATTATCCAATCCTTCCACAAATATCCTTAAATGTAATAAATTCTGACACAATCTTGGTCGTCTCTCTTATCACTCTTTCCACCGTAATAAATCAATAATATTCATATCAAGGGTTCTATTGGAAAAATTATTAATTTGTTTATAGATTCTGCAAAAGATATTACTTATAAATAAGAAAGTAAAAAGCTTATGGAACATGATTTATAAATAAAAACGAGACAATTCAGAAATAATTTGATTTGTCAAAATATACTTACATCATATATAAATATATAGATTTTTTCTTTGGGAAAAAATAATGTTTGATTTTGGATTAGCTTTGCCACCGAAAAGCTTTCTGATTGCGCACAGGACATGTTAATGCGGTCAAAAGCAGAGACAGCTTTAGTGGCCTAGCGGGGCACTTGGTCATCTGAATCCTCTTCAATCTTCATAATGAAAAGATTAGTGCCATATTCTCATTTGAGTTGAGTGTTTTTTTTTTTTTGTCATCATTAACGTTAATATTCTTTCCACCCAAAAATATATAAAGGGAGAATCAAATTCAGTTCCCTTCCAAAAAAAATTATTATAGATAAGGATTAACAACAAATTTCATTTAAAAAAATAAATTATATCTTTATTTTAACAACAATATATTTTGCATCAACAATATATTTTGTATTGATCCTTATTTGTGATTAATTCTTTTGGAGGAAGCTGGCTCTGATTTTTTCATATGTCAATGCCTAATCTACTTAATTTATCATCATTCAAATTAAGATGTATGTTTTTTTTTAATAAACCATGTGCATGGTATATGCTGGAGATACTAATAATATGAATTCAGAGCAAGTCATAATCAAGGGGGGAAAACAACCTCTTTCAATAAGATTTATTATTATTCACAAGGCTCAAATTTAAGATAACTATTTGGTGTGGTTGAGTCTCGATCCACCTAACCCAACTATTATTGTCAAAATTAAGATGTAATCTTATTTTATATATGGACTCTCAACCTGTAGATGTAGATTTTTTTGTTGATGTTGACATTTCTTTTGGAGTCATCTAATTTCTAATATAAAAAAGGCAGAAATTCTCTAAATCTTGAATTTATAATATTCCAATATATATAATTCATGACAAAATATGATGTTAATTGATTTCAAAATAATAATTCTGTGGAAGGCCAAAAATTACACATATATCAAATGATAGTTATCAAATTGAGATGTACACAATGATATTTTGCCTTCAACAGCAATATATTGTTGAGCAAGAAGAAATTGGAAATCATTAAACATAAAAATTTGAGGTGTGAAAAGAATTTGGCAAAGTTGAGCAGGTTTGTTGGATGATCAAAGACACTAGAAATGACCAAGATTTCTTCCCAGATGGCGAGAGCCTCCACATTGATATGTATTTAATTAAATTGTCGGCCTAAAGTGGCATTGAAATTAAATAGAAGAAAAATATAGCTAGAATGATAAAATCTAAGATTTACATGTGACAAGCGAGAAAGAAAAACCAACAATTTTATGTTTTCATTTTTTTATTCAATTTTATGTTTTATTTTATGATGACATGTCCAGTATTGTTAGTCTAAATATGACTAGTATTGTTAGTCTAAATATGACTTGTTAACATAAGTTATGCTCACTTCCTTCAAAAATATAATACATTTTTAATTGAATCATACATCTCAATAAAGAAGTTAGTTATTTTTAAATTAACATTATTTTTTTATATTATCTTTATTAATAGCACATTTTACTTTAAAATAAATATAAAGTAGTTTATCCATTAGAGACACTTTTGAAAAATGCACATTAATTACACATTAAAATAAATTTTTAACTTTCAAAAAATATTTTATATTTTTGATTGGATGGAGTGTTATTCATAAAAATTTGACAAGTTTTTCGATATGTTGAATAAAAAATGATGATATGTATGACATGACTTAATATAAAATTTATATTTTAGAATGCTATATTTTATGGTTCATTACACAAAGTATGAGAATTGACATTTGTTTATAACTTGCAAATGAATATCTAAAATTCAGAATAATTAGACAAATTAATGACATTTAATTAAAATAGTTTTCATCATTTTGACGAGCTAAATTAGCCGACACAGCATTACTTTTAGTTTGTTTGTCTTCTAACCGATGATGAATGTATACACGTAGAATAGATTATTTCAAATTATAAACTATAAAGTAATTAATTATAGATTTAAATAAGGATAAAAGAGTAAATTAGTCTTTAAACTATAAATTCAAGATCATTTGGGACCTTAAACTTATTTATTATACAATATTCTCCTTCATTTAAAAAAAAAATGGTGCAATACGGCTCTTTCTATTAACAAAAATTAACTTTAATCATTAATTAGCTAAAAAGCAACAAAAAATTATAGATAAAAACCCAACAAATATAGAAAAAGATCAAGAAATTTTGTGGTTCTATTATGTAATTTTTGAGATTATATTCTAGTCAACAACAAGTTAAAGTTGACTTTTATTAATATCAAAGACTAGATTGTATTACTTTCAAAAGTTGAAAGGAAATATTTTATATGTTGCTTTTGTCTTGTTTTAGATCCCAAATTAAAGTAACTATGGCATAAAAATAGTTGAAAAATAGAACATATTGTCTCATTAAATATTGTATGTGTTTTGCGAAGAAAGGGAACCAAAAAGGAACTAAAACACACCAGAGGACAAAAAATCACACTCTTGGTTGCTCCCGATCATGGATGAAGAAAAACTGAAAATGTTGGTGCTTGCTTCGATCACGAGTGGATGAAAATGCAAAGGATTCAATCGCGGATGAACGAAAAATCAGAAACACTTTACTATTGTAGAATTAATCCTAAATTAAAAGAATTAAAATAAAAATGGCCAAATAGAATTGTGCTAACAGGCTTTTAGGTTTTGAGATGCAAAAACTATCAATAGAACCTTTAGGAGCCTCAGTTGAATCATTCA